AAGAAATAAATTAATTAAACACAAGAGCAAACATATTTAAAAAATATTTCATCACAATTCAAAATCATAGACAATCCAATAAATTGTGACATAACAATCAAGCACAAAATATATTTCAAAATTTTCACAAAGAATCAAGAGATAATCGATTTAGCATTTTTCGATAATCAAGTATTTTGACCACATATGCATTGCATCAAGAGATAATTTTCATTCATATGTGCACATGAGATTTATAAACGTAATGAAATTGAATGAAAAATAGTAGTTTAAGCATTGAAAATAAATTCTTAATTTTAACATAAATATTTATTCCAAGATTAAAAATATAATCAAATAAATATCCATAATGCATACCATTTTTAATTAAAAAAATAATTATATTATTATTATTTTTTAAATTATTAAAAAATTTAAAATCAACATCAAAATCAAAGGTCAAGGGTACAACATAAGCTTGGCACATTGTGATTCCAACCCATTCAAATAGCCAAAATAAATTTGGTGACATTTTGCGTGAATGGATCAATTGACTCCATGAGGGGATCGATCTTGTCATTAAGGTGATTGATCCCTCATGTAGGGTGATCAATCCCTTCTTGCTTAGTGAAACCAAATTTGCTTTTTGACCAAAAAATCAATTGATCCCTTAAAGAAAGGATCGATCCTGTAACCTAGAGAATCAATCTAGTTAAGCTAGGCAGTTGTATTTTGCTTTGCACTCTACTCGCTAATTTGATCATCTTTTGAGTTATACAATTCTAAATCAAAAATCATTTGAAGATTTAGAAACTAAACTTAAAAGACTTTCTATCCATATAATATTCTTCACCTAATTTATTGTATATGAATTATAGTGAATTTTCGAAACTACTCTTTATGCAATTTTTAGACAACTACAAAGTGTCTAATAAAAAATCAAAATTTTTTCTTATAAAATTTGGATTTTGATTTTATTTGATTCATTAGAAAGTAAACTCAAAGAACTTTCCAACCATATAAAATTTAAATATTAAAGCTTTGTGAATTAATATAAAAAATAAAATAAGTTTAATGTTGAAAAACTTTATTCTTGTAAAACAACTTTTTTAAGTTAATCTATTTTTCAAAGCCAATATTATCAAATTTGTGTAATCAAGTGTAATCAAACCAATAATATTAAGAATATTTTGAATGTATGTAATCAAGTGTAATATGTAAAATAAAATTCACATACACGTATTCAAGTACAAAAGTATAAGTGTATCTAATTAAAATGTTATAATATAAACTTTAAGCCTTTACTATTCAAGGATCAATATATCCATATAAAATGTACTAAAGCCATAAAAATCATATTTATGTCAACAAACTCATGTAAAAAAATTCATTTATGCCAAACAAAATAAAATGAATCATTCAAAGCTTAATATGTCCAAAATTTTAATTTTTAAAAATTTTCTAGCTCATTTTTGTTTGAAAAAAAACCTTAAAAGATCTCATAATTAGTCAAACTCATTTTTAACCAACTTGAGCCACTCCAACAAATTTCAAATGACAAAACAAAGTTGCTCAAGTAGTCATTTAACCTTTGAAACAAGAAAATAAAAAACTTGAGCCATTTGATCTTTACTTAAGGTGATTAAACCTATAAAAAGAGTCAAAACTCTGATATCAATTGTTAGCTTTTTAAGTGAGATAATAATCCAAGAAAGTGATGAATTGGATCTCTTCAAATTCTTTCTCAAAACTATATTTCAATATAATTGAATAGAAATTAAAACCAATATAAATATATAATACAAATAATAATAAATTGATGAACTAGAAGCAAATATAAACTATAATCAAAATAAAAAGATAGGGATATAGATATAAAAAACAATGATTTATAAAGGTTAAGTCCTTTTCCATAAAGCACATACGTCCTCTCTATTAGTTGTCCACACCAAGGCTTCAATCCACTAATCTTGAATTAAGAACACAACCTTATCTTTTTTTTCAAAAGGCGTTAGATAAAAACCTCCACCCTTACACAATCAAAAGGATACCTCACATTTTGCTTACAAGATAACCCAAATGATTTTTGCAAACTAAAATACCTTTCAATGTTAAATGTTTGCCTAATGAAGTACCAAAAAAATGATGAATGAAACACAAAAATATTTTAGATACAAAAAATACAAAGGATATTGAATTTAAGCTCTAAAACTCTTGATTTCTTTAAAAGAATGAAAATATAACTTGTGTGATCTTACTCTCTTGATTCATTAACCTTTTTGGTGTGTTAAAATGCCCAATTTATAAAAAAATTGAAAAACTTTGGAATGGTGTGGAGTAAAAAAAAAAAAACATTAAAGCTTGAAAAATTAGTCATTAGAGCTTTTCTGGGCATAAAAGATCGATTGATTTTGATAAGGGATCAATCCTTTACCTTGATCGATCCTTTCTTGTAAAGGATCAATCTTTTTTGGTATTTTTCAAGTCTATTTTGTTTTTATAAGAAAAAACAATTGATCCATTACAAAAAGGGATCGATATGTTTAGTTAGGAGATTGATCTTGTAACCTAAGAGATCAATCCTATAACCTAACGAACCTAACGATCAATTTGGTCAAGCTAAGTGATTATATCATGTTTTACACTTTACTCACTAATTTGATCATACCTTAAGTTATACAATTCCAAATAAAAAACCGTTTAAAGATTTAAAAACTAAACTTAAAAATACTTTCTATCCATATAAAATTTATCATCTAATTTATTGTATATGAATTATAATAAATTTTTAAAATTACTCTTTATGTAATTTTTAGACAATTACAAAGTATCTAATAAAAAATTAAAATCTTTTCTTAAAAAATTTGAATGTTGATTTTGTTTGATCCATTGAAAAGTAAACTCAAAGAGCTTTCCAACCATATAAAATTCAAATATTAAAAGTTTATAAATTAATACAAAAAAATAAAACAAATTCAATATTAGAAAACTTTGTTGTTGTAAAATTTTTGTTTAAACTTTAAAAATAATATTATTTGTTTAGTACCAAAATAATAAAATTTAAGAACATGTATTAAATAAATCTTTTTCAAAATCTTGATCAAGCTTATGTAGCTTAATGTTTTGTTATTTCAAAATAAAGATCAATTAAAGGCTAACAATCTCTTTTTTTTTTTATATGACAAATTTTAAAAATAAATTTGCTTGATAAAAAAATTTTCTTTAAAACATTTAAAATTTTGTTTAAAGATTTTTTTAAGACAGTTTTTTTTAAGACTTTGCATGAAAAAACTCCCCTTTAATTAACATATCCTAATCCAACATAACTCAACAAATATATATTTATTAAATATATTAAATAAACACAATCAAACATATGCATGTCAAGCACAAGCAAATTTATCCATATGATATTTTTCTCCATTTTATCGTAACAAAAAGATAAGCAAATAAACACAAAAAAAAGATTATGTTAAGACTCCTATACCAAATGCTGTATACATACAAGAAGAAATATTTATAAACTTTCTTTTTTTGTCATTGTAAAAAAAAAAAAAAAGAGATCAATTTAATACATGAGACAAAATGCTTGATACCAATAATATTAAGAGTATTTTGAATGCATGTAATCAAGTGTAATATGCACAATAAAGTTCACATACATATATTCACGTACAAAAACATAAGTGTATCCAATTAAAATGTTATAGCACAAAATCATTCATTCAACCTAACCACATGAAATTTATAAACAAAAAAATAATAAATGATATGTAAGCTACTCATAAATAATATTATCATAAGATGTACTTAGAACCTAAAACATCAATAACAATTAAGTACAAATTTAAGCACATGCATACAAGCTTATATCAATTGTTAAAAATATATTATCACAAAGCATACCAATTGTTATCAGAAAACAAATCAAGCAAAATTATATTTTAAAATTTTTTCTCTTTTTTAAAATAAAGATTAATCAATTTAAGACACAATTTTGTATGAGAAGTACAAGCTATATCAATGATAGATACATAAACAAGTCTCAATAAAAGTTAAAAAATTTTTTAGCAATTTTGATACCAATTGTTATCAATTGTTAGCTATTTTATTCACAAACTTTTAAGGATCACAATATATTTCAACCATACGAAATGTCAATCAATACATGCAGAATAACATTATTTCATAAGCATATCCTATCTAAAACAAATATTTAATCATCATATTATAATAAAGAATTATACAATCATGATTTTTTAAGTATGATGAACACATGCTATAGCAAAGAAATAATGAAAGCATAATTATTTAAATTTAATCCAAATTATTTCAATATAAAGCAATATTTTTAATCCAAACATATGCAAGTGCATAAATACAATTAAACATATTTTTCAATCAAAATCATACAAACACATGCAAAAACATTTCAAATCACATATAGCAATATACCAATAAAGATACAAATATTTAGATATAATATGATACATGCTATCTCAATAATCTCAATCAGTGAACATATTCAAAAAAATCAATCTATTTAACTCATGTCCGTCCAAGACTCGAACAAATATTTATGCAATAAAAACTATTAATCAAAGCAATTAAAAAATAGACATACATATTATAATCAATTCAAGCATTTAACAAAATTAAGACTAATTCTATCATGTAACTTGGTGATTAATTTGTGCAAACTGTTCACAAATTCAAACATAATATCTCATTTTTGCATATATCAAATAAGCATTTATCAAACTATATATTAAACATTATAAATCATAAACACAGCATAAATTCAATACAATTACCTCCATCCTCATCAAGTTATGTTGTTATGTTCATTGTAGTTGAATGAAGCTTTGAATCCTCCATTTCATATTTTTAAGCTAATCTTTGATGCATTTGAGCTTGACTGATAAAGATGATTTGCTTTGCTTGTTCCACTTAAAATCTCAAAAATGTCATTTCATGCTTATTTCAAGTTCTCCTAATATAAACTTAAAAAAATTTCTTGACAAAAAATTTTCATTAGAAACATCAAGAAAATCAATTGATAAAAATTATATCAATTGTTCAAAATAAATTCCATAGTCTAAATCATTATAAACAAATGAACTTTATTCACTAAACCCAAATTTTCATTTAGAAAGGAGATATATGTGTGTGTATATAAACTTACTAAAAACCATGTATCAAGTTAAACATTATATATCACAATATTGTTACTAAAGTTAAAATTCTCATGTAATATGCAAAAATCAAACTTTTTTTATTATTCATAAACACAAAATGGACATATTCAATATTCATATATATTCAATAAATCATCAAGAAATATGTCAAAACTAAGTAAGGCCTTATAAAATTAAAAAAACTAAAAAAAAAACATAATCAAGAAAATCTCACCACAAAAGCATAAATATATCTATACAAATTATAGGCCATAATCAACAATGATTTAAGACAAACATAAGAATTATAAGAAAATCACTTACTTAATCCATGTTGCAATCATGTCAAGTAAAGCTCAATCATATTCATATAAGCACACGACATGAACAATAGATGAGCCAATAATATATTTTAGTTAAGATAAATTAGCTAATCATACATCAAATTAAAATCACAAATCAAAAAATAAGTCAAGTAAACACAAGAGCAAGCATATTTCAAAAATATTTCATCACAATCAAATAAATTGTGACATATTGTGACATAACAATCAAGCACAAAATATATTTCAAAATCTTCACAAGAAATTAAGAAATAATCAATTTAGCATTTTTCAATAATCAAGCTCAATCCATTTATTAACAATGACCATTTGCAGTTGATAATCAAATCCGACAACATCTTCGACAGGAAGGCAAAATGTAGGCATTCCACTCACCTATAGCATACACAATTAGCATAACGAAGATAAAAAATATTGACATTTTCCCAAAAAGAATTGCTCATCTCGATTACATTCCTCTAAGTATTATCCTTTATTGGTTTTACTGACTATTTTATTGATTATTATGACAGAAAACAATTTAAGATGGTGGAAGTCTACCTTCAACTATTTTTTATTTTCCTCTTCAATGTTCATAGAACTTATAGAATGTTATTTTTGCAAATAATATATGAAAATCTGCAACTAAATCACTCCAATATAAACATTTTATCAATTAAATGTTCTTTACTATGCTAATATTTCTAAAGTGTAAAACATAAATTACCTTTTGTTGTGCTAATAGCTTTTTTGGTGACTTATTTGCACAAAAGATGAAATACATGAAAAGCAAGGATATTTTAAGATTTCTAGAGATTCTTGGTTGTTCACTTCAAGTGTTTTTGGAATTTTCATTTTTGGCATCTTTAGTTGTTATGTTTCCATAACTCTTGGTGTACAATAAAAATTAGTTCAATTTACAACAAGCATTTTTAACAATTTTTTAGTTCATTCTACAATACCAAAACACTTAACTACTAGCACAGTAACCTACTTATTCATGGCATAGGGATTCAATTGATGCATGACGAGAAGTGATGAAGCAGTAGAGAATTAGAAAAACATGTACAATACACAAATGTTTGGTAGGATTACGCAAACATAAGTACATGTGTGCAAACTTTTTCAAAACCATTTCTACACTTAACATCCTCATGGATCACGTAAAAAAGTATTGAAACCCCATCCCATTTATGCAACCCAGTGCAACAAATGTTGTTGTAGAAGAGACAGGGAACTTAAAGCACACATCATAATTCTGGGATAGATAAATGATTATAAGTCGAAGGATACTCAATGTGACTCAAAAAAAGAGTTATAAAACATACATCTTCACTAATGGTGACAGCCTCAGGATAAACTCCATGAATCATATAATTAACCAGCATCTACATCAGTTGCATAACCAAAGTACTCATTGTAGTTTCCAATAAATGCTACCTACAGCAAGTTCAAGAAAACAAAAGTTAAGCTGGGATAATACATTATAAAGATGCAATGACACTAAAAACCTTTAGTCCTCAAGAGAATTTAGTTAAGAAACAAACATAGAGAAATAATGCTTCACCACTTACAAAAACCAAATGTTACATCAGTTCTACTTCTCTATATAACATAAAGCCAAAACTTTGATAATTAACATCTGAACATGCAAGTAACTTATTATATAACACCAAGCAAAATAGAAAATCTGCAAACTCATTCTAATATTACCTGCAACCCATGATAGGGGTACATCATTGAAGTCACAACATCAAATTTGAACCCATCAAACTTGTATTCTTCTAGCCACCATCTTGCATTTGAAAGAAGAACCCTTTGTACCTAAAGCAACAAGTAAATATTAATATTTACACATAATAGGATGGAAGGAAGCCAAAATCTTTAAACAAGCTATTGTTTAAGAGAAGTTTCAGTAGAAGTACATAATTCCCAGCTTCCATAAATAAAATGGTGAGAATCCCACATCCAGTGGTGACCTCTTGACCCCGAGTGGAAGTAATGAGCATCAGTTCCATCATACATGTTCAATCCATCTAACACATTATTAGATGCATGGCTGTATTTGTGAAACATCAATCGATACAAAGATGGATGAAAAAATTAATTAATAACTTAAATTAACTAAAGAATAAAAATTAACTGAGACTTATAGCAAAAGATTACTTACTCAAAGCAACAGAGCAAATACTTGAATAAAAATTTGCTACAGCTTAGAAAAGAATTTAACATTAACGACATGCAAAAGATAAAAACTCTCATTGTAAACAATACAGTAACATTCCATTTGGTAGTTGTTTTTGCTACTAGCTTTTTGCTTCCAAAAGCAGAAAGTACATTTGGGTAGAAAAGACAATAATACTTTAAAAGAATTAAAAATAAAAAATATAATCTCTTGTAAAACAAAATACTATGATTCCTCTTTTAATAGAACAATTATACAACAAATTCTACTCATTTAATCATATACATTCTCAAACAAGTATGACTTTGCTTTTTCACTTTTAGGAAGCCAAAAGCAACTAGAAAAACCATAGCAAGAGTAAGGACCAATAACAGCCTAAATTCACATGACCATTTTTGCATCAAGTCTACTGGAAGAATGAGACGCAGGAAAAGAAGAAGAAAAAGAGTATATTTTCATTTTTGGTACGAAAAAGCTAGGAAAAACCGTTTGCACAAAAACTGTAACAGCAAATAAAGCTGAAGGGTGTGTTTTTAGAAATGATATTCTCCTGCAAGTTCAATTATTACCTGTGCACAATATCCTTAAGAACAAGTAGACTCAACTCGTCCTATCTATCAGTGACTTAAGATCATCAAGGGTTCCAAAACGACTGCTTGGTGCAAAGAAGTTTGTCACATGATACCTACAACATATTAAATGCAACTTGTTAAAAGTAGAAGAGGTTAGTTTCCATAACCAAAACTAAATTTTGAAGAAATATTTCTATTTACATCCAAAACATAACATTTTCGTACAAGTTAACAAACATAAACAGCAACAAATAAAGATGAGCTGATATTTTGATGGAGATAGTACCCAAATCAAGCATAATATGAGTGCTCTTGAACAGCCATGATTTGAACAGCATTATATCCAAGTCTTTTAATGTGGGGAAGCACATCATCTCTAAAGTTGGCATATGTGTTAATTATTGGCTCCTGCATCTCAGAATTGATAATATTAAGAAAACTAGGAAATGGATTAACCATACCAATGTGTACCATGGAAGATAAAGACTGAAGGAGTTTGTGGGACAAATTTTCTTTGAATGATAGTATGACGAAAACTAGAGATAAGTTTTGGTTTAATTGCAAATTTAGGCTTCTTAATGGGTTTTAGAAATGGGAAAAGAATCATAATGAAATGCAATCAAACCAACTTTTATGTTATTGATTTGAAATTGTTATTTAAGATATTTCTATACACAAAGCAGTTAACAAAGATCTAAGTCACTAGCTGTTTGGCATTTGCATTATCATTAACTAAAGTAACACTCATTATTTAGTATAATCCAAATGGACGGACTTCCATTAACCAAAGAACACGAAAAGTAGGCCGTATGCACCTATTTGGCTTTTTGCTAGCTTAATTTGATAGATTTTCTCTTTAAGAGAGGCCACCCTGCCTATGAGATGCAGGAAAGTTTCGTTTCAAAATTTACAGGCCTTTCCAGCCAGATATACTGTTTGATGCTCTTAAAGATGTTCAATGCAAGTCAAAATGTTTCTCTATCTTCCTTTTGTTCTTTTTTTTTTTTTTTTTTGTGAGGGGGAGGGGAGGTAAAATTGATAGCTTAAATACAGATACTAAGATAAATTTTCCTGTAAAATGTATTATCTTATAAAACCTCCTGCTTCACTTTTCGGTCTCAAAACCTTGCAGGAACACTTCAAAGGAAGGGTTGAAAGAAGTAGCATAAAAAATATGATCACACACATGATAGCATTTAATGAAGCTTTTTATCAAACTTAAGGTTTCTTCTTTTAAGATTAAATAAATCAAGGAAATGCAATTCAACATAGAGACAGAAGAGTTGAAAAACAATTTGCTACATGCAAGGAAAAGGAAGATGCATACCATGCTACCCATTCCAACATGTGATTCATAGACTTAGGTGATTTTGGTCCTTTTGGCTGGGGGTGTTTGTATACAAACTTTTCCTGTTATAGTATAAAAATCATTAGTCAGGATAAAGAGTATAAAAATTTGAGATAAGACACATATTATAGACTAAACTAAGTTGACTGCGCTGTGTAGTGATTAAACTTGAACAAAAGAAAACACAATTTAGAAACTGACTTCATATATGAAAAAGAACCAATCAAAATTGTTTTCTTAAAAACCTTTAAGGGCATTGATGTTAATATTAATGTTATAAAGGAAGACGTTCATCAAAACAACCTACTCTAAGAAGAATAAAAAATTCATTTTTCGTTTATATATCAATTAATCATATTTGTGTGTAGGCATGCATGCATGCTTTTTTTTATGTATCCTCACACACATTTAAAATTATCATAAACATTAGTTGGTATTTCTAATTTTCCCCAAGCTCCAAATATTTCAGCTGCTTATAGTTTGAAAAGAATAAGTTATCTAATCTTTCCAACAAAACCAAAAGATCAAACAGCCACTAATTATACCTCTTCTGGTAGATCATAGTATATTCCATTGTATGGGATTTCACCTGGTGCTTGAACAGAGAACTTGATCCAAGCAAGAATGGAGTCCTTAATCCCAGATGGAGTTTCCATATGAATCTACAATTATATGATCAAAAAGTTAAAAAGGACACATGGACAAAAGAGGTTTCGATGAATGATAATTGACATGATCATAACAGTCCACCAAAAAAAATTTTTTTTTCCATCTTCATCCTCTCTTTCTTTCTTTCTTCCTTCCTTTTAGGACAGGAGTTAGTTGGATTTGAACTCAGCTACCTTGAATAATTTTGCTTGACTTAGAAACCGGCCACTAAATACTTCAATACCTTTATGTCATGAATTCTAGTAATTAATTATCGTGAACGTTGTACTACAAGCAATGATTTATTCAAACCATATACACATGCAATAGGATCAGTGTTAAAAAAAAGCATCATACTTAAAGGTTCCTGGTCCACAGATTATGATCAAAAGGTTAAATACCTTGCTGATCTACAGGGAAAGAGTTGCAAGTTTTAATAGTTTCTTTTTACTCTTACTTAAAAAGTGGAAAAAGAAAATAATAAACAAGTAGCATTCGAATGTAAGCACAATAAGTTTCAAAAGCCAATCTTATCTTAATCTACAGGTAATTTACCTTCACTTGAGAACCATGGGGAATTGGTGGTGAACCATAAGCATTATTAGCCAAAATATCTCCCAGACACCAAACTCATTCTATTAAAAAAACAATTAATATTTGTAGAATTAAACACTAGATGTTATTTAAATATAGAAATAGACAATAGATCACTGCCAGTGTAAATCAACACAGCTTTCTAAGCACTTAGAACACAATCACCTTCCCTTTTATACTTGAGACTGCATGGCATTAAATATATGAATTAGCTGATATAATTAATTGTTACACAAACAAGGTGGCTTTTGCACTTAATTATAAAAACTTTGACAACGTTTATCTTCTTAACTTTTCTATTTGGAGCTTTTAAGAATATCAACTGCACCAAACTATACACTCAATCTTTGGTCCACTAAGAAGAATATTCATGCTCACATACATATAAAAAGATCCATGTTTACATTCAGATTTAACATTAAGCTAAGTGTTTTGACAAACCAAACTTAAATAACTTTCAACTTCTTTCCGCATGTGCATTTAGAGAAGATATAAGCATTGATTTACGAACAGCTGGTATTGCAAATACTACAGTTTCTTAAGGCATACATCTTAGAGCACATGGTTTGAGTCAAAGAGAAAAGCAGGGAAGAATTGATTATTATGACAGATGACAATTTAAAATGGTGGAAGTCTACCTTCAACTATTGTTTCTTTTCCTCTTCAATATTAATAGAACTTAAAGAATGTTATTTTTGCGAATAATATATGAAAATCTGCAACTAAATCACTCCAATATAAACATTTTATCGATTAAATGTTCCTTACTATGCTAATATTTCTAAAGGGTAAAACATGAATTACCTTTTATTGTGCTAGTAGCTCTTTAGGTGAATCATTTGCACAAAAGATGAAATATGTGAAAAGCAAAGATACTTTAAGATTTCTAGATATTCTTGTTTATTCCCTTCAAGTGTTTTTGGAATTTTCATTTTTGGCATCTTTAGTTGTTATGTTTCCATAACTCTTGGTCTACAATAAAAATTAGTTCAATTTACAACAAGCATTTTTAACAATTCTTTAGTTCATTCTACAGTATCAAAACACTTAACAACTAGCAGGGTAATCTACTTATTCATGGCATATGGATTCAATTGATGCCTGAAGAGAAGTGATGAAGCAGTAGAGAGTTAGAAAAACATGTACAATATACAAATGTTTGGTATGCTTACACGCACACAAGTATATGTGTGCATACTTTTTCAAAACCATTTCTACACTTAGCATCCTCATGGATCACGTAAAAAAGTATTGAAACCCCAACCCATTTACGCAACCCAATGCAATAAATGTTGCTATAGAAGAGACAGGGGACTTAAAGCGGACATCTTAATTCTAGAATGGATAAATGATTATAAGTCGAAGGAAGCTCAAAGTAGAGTTATAGAACATACATCTTCACCAATGGTGACAACCTCAGGATATAGCCCATGAATCATATGATTAACCAGCATTAGAGAGACAACAACATCAACATCAGTTGCATATCTGAAGTACTCATTGTAGTTTCCAGTAAATGCTCCCCACAGCAAGTTCAAGAAAACAAAGGTTAAGCCGGGATAATACATTATAAGGATGCAATGACACTAAAAACCTTTAGTTAAAAAATGAACATAGAGAAATGATGCTTCACCACTTACAAGAACCAAATGTTACATCAGTTCTACTTCTCTATATAACATAAAATCAAAACTTTGATAATTAACATCTAAACATGCAAGTAACTTATTTTATAACACCAAGCAAAATAGAAAATCTGCAAACTCACTCAGACATTACCTGCAACCCATGATGGGTGTACATCATTGAAGTCACAACATCAAATCTGAACCTATCAAACTTGTATTCTTCCAGCCACCATCTTGCATTTGAAAGAAGAAACCTTTGTACCTAAAGCAACAAGTAAAAATTAATATTTACACACAATAGGATGGAAGGAAGCCAAAATCTTTCAACAAGCTATTGTTTAAGAGAAGTTTCAGTAGAAGTACATACTTCCCAGCTTCCATAATTAAAAAGGTGAGAATCCCACATCCAATGGTGACCCTTTGACCCTAAGTGGAAGTAATGAGCATTAGTTCCATCAAACATGTTCAATCCATCTAATGGTTGTATTCGTCAAACATTAGTTAAAAACAAAGATGGATGACAAAATTAATTAATAACTTAATTTAACTAAAGAATAAAAATTAACTGAAACTTATAGCAAAAGATTACTTACTTAAAGCAACAAAGAAAATACTTGAATAAAAATTTGCTACAGCTTAGAAAGGAATTTAACATTAACAACATGCAAAAGATAAAAACTTTCATTGTAAACAATACAATAAGATTCCATTTGGTAGTTGTTTTTGCTACTAGCTTTTTGTTTCCAGAAGCAGAAAGTACATTTAGGTAGAAAAGACAATAATACTTTAAAAGAATTAAAAATAAAAAATATAATTTCTTGTAGAACAAAATACTATGATTCCTCTTTTAATAGAACAATTATACTACAAATTCTATTGCATTTAATCATATATATTTTCAAACAACTATGACTTTGCTTTCTCTTTTTTATGTTTGTTCTTTAGAAACCTTTTAGGAAGCCAAAAGCAACTAGAAAAAACATAGTAAGAGTAAGTACCAGTAACAGCCTAAATTCTCATGGCCATATTTGCATCAAGTCTACTAGAAGAATGACCATACAGTCTAAATAGGAAAAGAAGAAGAAAAAGAGTTTATATTTTCATTTTTGGTACGAAAAAGCTGGGAAAAACCATTTGCATAAAAACTGTAACAACAAATAAAGCTGAAGGATGTGTTTCTAGAAATGATATTCTCCTACAAGTTCAATTATTACCTGTGCACAATATCCATAATAACAAGTAGACCCAACTTATGAGCCCTATTTATCAGTGATTTAAGATCATCAAGGGTTCCAAAACGACTGCTTGGTGCAAAGAAGTTTGTCACATGATACCTACAACATATTAAATGCAACTTGTTAAAAGTAGAAGAGGTTAGTTTCCATAACCAAAACTAAATTTTGAAGAAATATTTCTATTTAATCCAAAACATAACATTTTCGTACAAGTAACAAAACATAAACAGCAACAAATAAAGATGAGCTGATATTTGATGGAGATAATGCCCAAATCTAACATAATATGAAGTGCTCTTGAACAGCCATGATTTGAACAGCATTATATCCAAGTCTTTAATGTGGGGAAGCACATCATCTCTAAAGTTGGGCATATGTGTTAATTATTGGGCTCCTGCATCTTAGAGTGATAATATTAAGAAAACTAGGAAATGGATTAACCATACCCAAAGTGTACCATGGAAGATAAAGACTAAAGGTGTTTGTGGGACAAATTTTCTTTAAATGACAGTATGATGAAAACTAGAGATAAATTTCGGTTTAATTGCAAATTTAGGCTTCTTAATGGGTTTTAGAAATGGGTGAAGAATCATAATGAAATGCAATCAAACCAATTTCTATGTATTGATTTGAAATTGCTATTTAAGATATTTCTATACACAAAGCGGTTAACAGAGATCCAAGTCACTAGCTGTTTGGCATTTGCATTATCATTAACTAAAGTAATACTCATTATTTAGTATAATCCAAATGGAAGGACTTCCTCTAACCCAAAAACATGAAAGTAGGCCGTATACACCTACGTGGCTTTTTGCTAGTTTAATTTGACAGATTTTCTCTTTAAGAGAGGCCACCCTGCCTACGGGATGTAAGAAAGTTCCGTTTCAAAATTTACAGGCCTTTCCAGACAGCTATACTGTTTGATGATCTTAAAGATGTTCAACGCAAGTCAAAATGTCTCTCTATCTTCCTTTTTTTTGGGGGGGGGAGGGGGGGGGGTAAAATTGATAGTTTAAATACGGATACTAAGATAAGTTTTCTTGTAAAATGTATTGTCTTATAAAACCTCCTTCTTTACTTTTCAGTCTCAAAACCTTGCAAGAACACTTCATAGGAAGGGTTGAAAGAAATAGCACAAAAAATATGATCCCACACATGATAGCATTAGTGAAGCTTTTTATCAAACTTAAGGTTTCCTCTTTTAAGATTAAATAAATCAAGGAAATGCAATTCAGTGCAGAGACAGAAGAGTTGAATAACAATTTGCTACATGCAAGGGAAAGGAAGATGCATACCATGCTACTCATTCCAACATGTGATTCATAGACTTAAGTGATTTTGGTCTTTTTGGCTAGCGGTTTTTGAATACATACTTTTCCTATTACAGTATAAAAATCATTAGTCAGGTTAGAGAGTACAAAAATTTGAGATAAGACACATATTACCGACTAAACTAAGTTGACCGTGCTGTGCAGTGATTAAATTTGAACAAGCAAGAACACAATTTAGAAACTGACTTCATATATGAAAAAGAACCAATCAAAATTGTTTTCTTAAAAACCTTTAAGGGCATTGATCTTAATATAAACGTCATAAAGGAAGACGTTCATCAAAACAACCTACTCTAAGATGAAAAAGAAATTCATTATTTGGTTATATAATCAATTAATCATATTTGTGTGCAGGCATACATGCATGCATGCTTTTGTCTATGTATCTTCACACACATGCAGTCATTTTAAAATTATCATAAACATTAGTTGGTATTTCTGATTTTCCCCAAGCTCCAAATATTTCAACTGTTTATAATTTGAAAAGAATAAGTTATCTAATCTTTCCAACAAAACCAAAAGAGCAAATAGCCACCAACTATACCTCTTTTGGCGGATCATAGTATATTCCGTTGTATGGGATTTCACCTAGTGCTTGAACAGAGAACTTGATCCAAGCAGGAATGGAGTCCTTAATCCCAAATGGAGTTTCCATACAAATCTACAATTATATGGTCAAAAACTTAAAATGTACACATGGAAAAAGAGGTTTGGATGAATGATAATTGACATGATCATAACAGTCCACTAGAAAAATGGTTTTTTTTTCATCTTCATCTTTTCTTTCTTTCTCCCTTCCTTTTAGGATGGGAGTTAGTTGGATTTGAACTCAGCTACCTTGAATAATTTTGCTTGACTTGGAGACCACCCCACTAAATACTTCAATGCCTTTATGTCATGAATTCTAGTAATTAATTATTGTGAAGGTTGTAGTACAACCAATGATTTAGTCAAACCATATAAACATGCAATAGGATCAGTGTTAAAAAAAAAGCATCATACTTAAAGGTTCCTAGTCCACAGATCATGATCAAAAGGTTAAATACCTTGTTGATCTACAGGGAAAGAGTTGCAAGTTTTTATAGTTTCTTTTTACTCTAACTTAAAAAGTGGAAAAAGGAAATAATAAACAAGTAGCATTTGAATGCAAGCACAATAAGTTTCAAGAGCCAAACTTATGTTCATCTACAGGTAATTTACCTTCACTTGAGAACCATGGGGAATTGGTGGTGAACCGTTAGCATTATTAGGCCAAAAGATCTCCCAGACACCAAACTCATTCTGTTAAAAAACAATTAATATTTGTAGAATTAAACACTAGATGTTATTTAAATATAGAAATAGACAATAGACCACTACCAATGTAAATCAACACAGCTTTCTAAGCACTTAGAACACAATCACCTTCCCTTTTATACTTGAGACTACATGGCATTAAATATATGAATTAGCTGATACAATTAATTGTTACACAAACAAGGTGGCTTTTGCACTTAATTATAAAAACTTTGACAACGTTTATCTTCTTAACTTTTCTATTTGGAGCTTTTAAGAATATCAACTGCACCAGACTATACACCTAATCTTTGGTCCATTAAGAAGAATATTCATGCCCACATACATATAAAAAGATCCATGTTTACATTCAGATTTAACATTAAGCTAAGTGTTTTGACAAACCAAACTTAAATAACTTTTAACTTCTTCCAACATGTGCATTTAGAGAAGATAAGCATTGACTTATGAACAGCTGGTATTGCAAATACTACAGTTTCTTAAGGCATACATCTTGGAGCACATGCAAAGAGTCAAAAAGAAAAGCAATGGAGAATTGATTATTATGACAGATGACATTTTAAAATGGTGGAAGTCTACCTTCAACTATTGTTTCTTTTCCTTTTCAATATTCATAGAACTTAAAGAATGTTATTTTTGCAAATAATATATGAAAATCTGCAACTAAATCACTCCAGTAGAAACATTTTATCTATTAAATGTTCCTTACTATGCTAATATTTCTAAAGGGTAAAACATAAATTACCTTTTATTGTGCTAGTAGCTCTTTAGGTGAATTATTTGCACAAAAGATGAAATATGTGAAAAGCAAGGATATTTTAAGATTTCTAGAGATGCTTGTTTGTTCCCTTCAATTGTTTTTGGAATTTTCATTTTTTGCATCTTTAGTTGCTATGTTTCCAGAACTCTTGGTCTACAATAAAAATTAGTTCAATTTACAACAAGCATTCTTAACAATTCTTTAGTTCATTCTACAATATCAAAACACTTAACTACTAGCAAGGTAACCTACTTATTCATGGCATATGGATTCAATTGATGCATGAAGAGAAGTGATGAAGCAGTAGAGAATTAGAAAAACATGTACAATACAAAAATGTTTGGTAGGCTTCGCACACACAAGTACGTGTGCAAACTTTTTCAAAACCATTTCTACACTTAGCATCCTTATGGATCACATAAAAAAGGTATTGAAACCCCATTCCATTTACGCAACCCAGTTCAACAAATATTGCCGTAGAAGAGACAAGGGACTTAAAGCAGACATCATAATTTTGGAACAGATAAACGATTATAAGTCGAAGTATGCTCAATGTGACTCAAAGAGGAGTTATAGAACATACATCTTCACCAATGGTGACAGCCTCAGGATATAGCCCATTAATCATATGATTAACTAGCATCATATAGACAACAGCATCTACATCAGTTGCATTTCCGAAGTACTCATTGTAGTTTCTAGTAAATGCTACCTACAGCAAGTTCAAGAAAACAAAGGTTAAGCCGGGATAATAATACATTATAAAGATGCATTGACACTAAAAACCTTTAGTCCTAAAGAGAATTTAGTTAAAAAACAAACATAGAGAAATGATGCTTCACCACTTACAAGAACCAAATGTTACATCAGTTTTACTTCTCTATATAACATAAAGTCTAAACTTTGGTAATTAACATCTAAACATGCGAGTAACTTATTATATAACACCAAGCAGAATAGAAAATCTGCAAACTCACTCAGATATTAATTGCAACCCATGATAGGTGTACGTCATTGAAGTCACAACATCAAATCAGAACCCATCAAACTTGTATTCTTCCAGCCACCATCTTGCATTTGAAAGAAGAAACCTTGTACCTAAAGCAACAAGTAAAAATTAATATTTACACACAATAGGATGGAAGGAAGCCAAAATCTTTCAACAAGCTATTGTTTAAGAGAAGTTTCAATAGAAGTGCATACTTCCCAGCTTCCATAATTAAAAAGGCAAGAATCCCACATCCAATGGTGACCCTTTGACCCTGAGTGGAAGTAATGAGCATTGGTTCCATCAAACATGTTCAATCCATCTAACACATTATTAGATGCATGGCTGTATTCGTCAAACATCAATCAGATACAAAGATGGATGAGAAAATTAATTAATAACTTAATTTAACTAAAGAATTGACTGACACTTATAGCAAAAGATTACTTACTCAAAGCAATAGAGCAAATACTTGAATAAAAATTTGCTACAGCTTAGAAAAGAATTTAACAGTAACGACATGCAAAAGATAAAAACTTTCATTGTAAACAATACAGTAAGATTCCATTTGGTAGTTGTTTTGCTACTAGCTTTTTGCTTTCAGAAGTAGAAAGTACATTTGGGTAGAAAAGACAATAATACTTTAAAAGAATTAAAAATAAAAAATAAAATCTCTTTTAAAACAAAATACTATGATTCCTCTTTTAATAGAACAATTATACTACAAATCCTATTGCATTTAATCATATATATTTTCAAACAATTATGACTTTGCTTTCTCCCTTTTAGGTTTGTTCTTTAGAAACCTTTTAGGAAGCCAAAAACAACTAAAAAAAACATAGTAAGAGTAAGGACCAATAACAGCCTAAATTCTTATGGCCATATTTGCATCAAGTTTACTGGAAGAATGACCATACAGTCTAAGCAAGAAAAGAAGAAGAAAAAGAGTTTATATTTTCATTTTTTGTACGAAAAAGCTGGGAAAAACCGTTTGCACAAAAACTGTAACAGCTAATAAAGCTGAAGGGTGTGTTTCTAGAAATGATATTCTCCTGCAAGTCCAATTATTACCTGTGCACAATATCCATAAGAACAAGTAGACCCAATTGGTGAGCCCTATCTATCAGTGACTTAAGATCATCAGGGGTTCCAAAACAGCTACTTGGTGTAAAGAAGTTTGTCACATGATACCTGCAACATATTAAATGCAACTTGTTAAAAGTAGAAGAGGTTAGTTTCTATAACCAAAACTAAATTCTGAAGAAATATTTCCGTTTACATCCAAAACATAACATTTTAGTACAAGTTAACAAACATAAATAGCAACAAATAAAGATGAGCTGATATTTCGATGGAGATAATACTCAAATCTAGCATAATACGAGTGCTCTTGAATAGCCATGATTTGAACAGCATTATATCCAAGTCTTTTAATGTGGGGAAGCACATCATCTCTAAAGTTGGCATATGTGCTAATTATTGGCTCCTGCATCTCAGAGTTGATAATATTAAGAAAACTAGGAAATGGATTAACCATATCAAAATGTGGCATGGAAGATAAAGACTGAAGGTGTTTGTGGGACAAATTTTCTTTAAATGACAGTATGATGAAAACTAGAGATAAATTTTGGTTTAATTGCAAATTTAGGCTTCTTAATGGGTGAAGAATCATAATAAAATGCAAACAAACCAACTTCCATGTTATTGATTTGAAACTGCTATTTAAGATATTTCTATATACAAAGCAGTTAACAGAGATCCAAGTCACTAGCTATCGGGCATTTGCATTATCATTAACTAAAGTAATACTCATTATTTAGTAATACCAGAGAAATGTTTTTTTTTTTTTTCCATCTTCATCTTTTCTTTCTTTCTCCCTTCTTTTTAGGGCGGGAGTTAGTTGGATTTGAACTCAGCTACCTTGAATAATTTTGCTTGACTCGGAGACCACCCCATTAAATACTTCAATGCCTTTATGTCATGAATTCTAATAATTAATTATTGTGAAGGTTGTAGTACAAACCAATGATTTATTCAAACCATATACACATGCAATAGGATCAATGTAAAAAAAAAAAAAAAGCATCATACTTAAAGATTCTTGGTCCACAGGTCATGATCAAAAGGTTAAATACATTGTTGATCCACAAGGAAAGAGTTGCAAGTTTTTATAGTTTCTTTTTACTGACTTAAAAAGTGGAAAAAGGAAATAATAAACAAGTAGCATTTGAATGTAAGCACAATAAGTTTCAAGAGCCAAACTTATGTTCATCTACAGGTAATTTACCTTCACTTGAGAACCATGGGGAATTGGTGGTGAACCGTTAGCATTATTAGGCCAAAAGATCTCCCAGACACCAAACTCATTCTGTTAAAAAACAATTAATATTTGTAGAATTAAACACTAGATGTTATTTAAATATAGAAATAGACAATAGATCACTGCCAATGTAAATCAACACACATGTTTACATTCAGATTCAACATTAAGCTAAGTGTTTTGACAAACCAAAGTTACATAAATTTTAACTTTTTTCAGCATGTAATAAGCATTACTTATGAACGGCTAGCATTGCAAATAATACAGTTTCTTAAGGCATACATCGTAGAGCACATTGGTCAGAGTCAAAGAGAAAAGCAGGGGAGACAGTAGCCCATTAAAAGCAACACAAATGATGTGTAGTTCATCAATAGATATAAAATTGCAAAAAAGCTGCCTCAAAAACAAAGTGTGGAGTTACTGATATTTTGATAGCACCAACTCCATCTTGTGACTGCATTATTTATGTCATGTATAGAAGGAGAAGATTCAGAAAGCAATCAAAGAAAATCACTTGTAGGTGCACCTACTAAAGTATTGCTAAATTATTATGAACTTCACTTAATGTCAAGTAACCCATCAATGGCAGGTCAGTTCTTACAGACATGGAAAATATCAATTCAATGCACACGTGGCATTTATTCTTGCACAAGAAAGCATAACATACCCAGCTCATAATATCTGCATTACGGTTCCAATTGTTAAAATTTCCAATCAATGCTGCTAACTGAAAAAGAAAATGCTATAAAATAATCACAAAAATTGAAGAGAAAACAAAACACCTAGAAGTTAATAAGACTTTTTTTATTGCATAGAAGTTAGTAAGATTAATGGTTAAAATCTCAAAATGTTAAAATGATGCATAAAAAACCTAACTCTTGGTGCCCTCTCCCTGTAAGTTATTCTTGTCTCACTGAAAGCCAGATGAGATTATATCAAAAAAGAGCAATATCAGCTTATCATAAAACAACTTCTAAGACAAAAAAAAAAATGAATGGAGAATAACATTTTTACTAAAAATTAAAGTTAACAAGATAGCTATTAAGCAATGTAATACAAAGAAATGATAAAAGGAAACAAGGAGAAGACATTCACAAATAAATAAATAAACATATAAAAGTGAAATAATAGAGAAAGGACTAATTCTAAGGGCTTTAATAAAATTCTCAATTTTTTCTTGCACTAAAGAACCAAATACTTGCTCCACACTTTGTTGAGCATCAACTGATTTCTTTCTTAGATTGATCTGCCTAAATTTTAAACATATAAAAATAAAAGATCTAGAAAATCATGTACACTATTCCCACACAAATCAATCACAAGAATATTCCAACACTAATTTTATTTAACTGAAAATTGCTCATTTGAACTGGAAAGAGTAATAAATCAAAATAAATTACATTTAGTGTAAAAAGCAATAACATGCAACCATGGGAGCTAAAATTAATATGGAACATTACAGTTATGAAAAATAAGCCCATGCTAACAATTAGATAGTTAGAAAAATGGTAACCTACATGTGAAGCTAAGCTTCTTATAGCCAAGAGAAAATGCCTCCAAACCACCTTCATACTTACCAATTTCCTCTAATATTCTCTTGCACTATGCATACATGTAATTAGATAAAATATACAAGGTAATAAAAATGTCATTGGCACATACCTTATCTACAACATCATTAGACAATTCCATATTCATTGATCACTTTGCTAAATACAAACATTGTAAGAGGGTCGGGTCAGGAGCATCAAACCTGAGTTTTTCGTTTTTTGTATCAAATACAACATTTTCTCTCCACAAAAGACACACCCGGCCAACCCAGATCCCGGCGACGGTAGCCGACCCGGCTGCCGTTCGGCGTCAGTTGACTCCAAAATTTCAGCCGTGGACTCCTCTCTTCCTTCTTGTCTCAGATTCAGCCTCTGTTTTTCGCAAATCACCTCATAATAGCTTAGATCTGAAACTTTAACCCGTTAAACCGCCGTTCACCCTCTTCTCGCCGTCCGGTCGTCCTGAAACCAAAGTATGTTGTTTCTCCCCTTCCATCCTTCCTTTCTACCGGTTCAGATCATCCAAAAGTCTCCTCGCCCCCGCTGACCTCCATACGCTGCCGTCGCTGCCACCGCCCAAAAAAATAGCTCTTTTCTCTCCTTTCCCAAAATCTTAAAAATACTCTCCCAAATAACTCATAAAAAAAAAATCCCATGACCGAAAGCCCTTTTCTGTTTCTTTTTTTTTTTTCCGATGGATTCCTCAATAGAGGACTGTGGTTGTTTGCAATTTTTTTTTTTTTTGGCTTTGTTGGCTTGGTTTTTTGATTTTTTGTTTTTGGCTGTGACAGTTGCTATTTATTTGTTGGCAGTTTCGATGGCTATCTCAGTAGGGCTGTGGGTGGCGGGTAGGTGGGAGATGGGAGCTGTTCCTGGGGGGGGTGTAGTTGGGAGATCGGTGGGGTTGAGTTGGTGACCGGCTGGCAAAGGAAAGGGAATGGGATGGTGGTGACGGTTTAAGGCGGGAAGGTATGGTGGTACACATGGTTGCCGGTGGAGGCAATGGCTTGTTGGAATTTTGGCATTGCCTTCTTCCTCCAAAAATTGGCCTCCAGAAAAAAAAATGCCTTTCAAAAGTTTTTTCAGAAAAGATTGGCCTCCTCTCTTGCCTCAATTTTTTGCCAGATCCAGTTCAAATCCCCAATTTTTTTAGATTTGAGAAACACTTTAATTCAAATTTTTTATTTTATGAGATTTGAGAAAGACTTTACAATTTTTGTGCTGGCAAGTTAGACAACAATACAGTGGGCAATCGGCTTGAATTCAACAGTGGAATTATTTGAATTTTGACTGTTTAGAGTTTTCAAGCTTTCTGTTTTTTTTTATTATTATTATTTTGATTTTTTAAAAAAAAGATTAAAATTAAAAAAATAGAAAAATAACCATAGTGTTTTATTGAGCTTTCTCATAATACTTTGGATCAAATAATTTTAAATCCAAATTAATTAAAATGAGATTTAATTTGTTTAATTTATTTGATGGTTTAATAAATTTGAAATATTTATTGAGATAAGAATTAATGATAATATTTTTTAAATTGAGTAGATTCAAATAAAATAAAATTTGTTTAACAAATTATTTTAATTCAATTTTAAAATTAATCCGAACAAAATATGATAAATACACATTTTTTGTGCCATATGAAATGAATTATTGTGTTTTGAAATTGGTCGGTTTATGGTTTATGTTTGGCAACAAAATAAATGTTGATTTCAATAATTTCGATTAGTTATGTAGCTAAGGATAATGTTGAGGCAAATGTAGTAGAAATTTTTTTTTTGCAAAATGAGATAGCCCTGTTTTGTTGGGCCAGCCTCAAATATTTTATATTTAGAAGATTAGCATTTTGTTTCCATGTTTTGTGCCTTTAAGCAACTTTCATCCAAAGAAACAAGAACAAAACTTTAAATATTAAACTGCACATGGCTTAAAAAGTCATGAAGCTATCACCTTTAGAAACTTTAAAAATTTGTTTTTCTTTCTAAGTTTGTCCATAACTTTCCAATGTCTTTTTCCTTCATGCAATTTTTTGTAATATTATGCTTTGGTCAAGTCAGAAACTTGGACCCTTTGAAATAGTCCATGTTAGCCAATTATATTGAATTTGTTACCTGGAATGATTTTCTACCTATGTATATTTTATTTTCACTTAGTAAAAGTTAAAGCAAAAACTATATTTCAATCTATGAAGAGGCAGGCCAGTGATATTTGGACTGAATGTTGTATAGAGCCAGATTGTAAAACGGAATATACTTTTTTTTTTTTTATAATGTAGTTAGGGAATCAAAGTAATATTAACAATTCTAGATATGATCATTCAATGGATCAAAAATTCAACCAATATGTCAAGTTAGGCAAAGTTTTTTCCCTCAAACATTTTCTATATCAAAATCCAATACTACTTTTAAATGTAACTCCCCAAGAAAACACAACTGTGAAATTTGGACACAAGATTATTATTAGTGAGATTTATGGCAAGTGTGGATCATTTTTGATAAAGTAGAATTTAGATGGAGATACACCTCTACATATTATTGCAAGGGTAGGTTAGAGAGAAACTGATGAAGCTGAAATCATTAGCAAGTTTGAGATTCTGAGAATGGTTAACAAGGAAAACAACATAGTTTTGCATGAAGCTCTCAAGAATGTTCATCTTAGAGTGGTTCAACTCTTGCTAAATGTCGATCCTAAGTTGGTTTTTTTAGAAAATTTTTTGGTGAATTGCTTTTGTATCTTGCTTCCAGAGAAGGAAAGCTAGAGATAGTGAATGAAATTATCAACAAATAAGTTCGTAGTTTATGGGGGTTCAGGTGGCCAAACAGCTTTGCATGCTCTGTCATTGCAAGCCATTGTGGAAATTTTCATATTTTGTTCATTTATTTTCACAAATTTCTCTTACACAACATTTATTCGGAATAAGATAATATTGATTTATTGACATTCAAGGAATTAATAAGCATGAGAGTTGAAAAAATAAATCTATTTACTGAACAAGTTCAAATAATTATGACTATTTCAACAATTATCTATTTAAAATCATTTTGACCATTTGTTTTGTCATATAACAATTATTTTAGTTCATAAAAGCTTATCCAAAATACAATAATATTATTTTATTAATATTTCAAAAATTAATAAATAAGAGATTTAAAAAATAAAACCAATTTACTGAATTAGTTCAAATAATCATGGCCATTTAAACAACTATCTATTTTAAATCATTATTACCTTTTGTTTTGTTATAAAACAATTGTTTTTCAACAGACAAGCTTTTTCAAAATAAAAGAATACTAATTTATTAATATTTCAAGAATTAATAAGAGATTTAACTATTTGAATAGTTATCAATTTCAAATTGTTATAACATTTTATTCTACCATAAAACAATTATTTTTGTTCATACAAACTTATTCAAAATAAAATATTTTGAAAATTAAAGAGTAAGAGAATTAAAAAAAAGAATCTATTTACCAAACAAGTTCAAATAATTATGACTATCTAAACACTTATCTATTTCAAAACATTATAACATTTTGTTTTATCAAAAAACAATTGGTTCTGTTCATGCAAATTTATTTCAAATAAGGTAATATAAATTTATTAATATTCTAAAAATTAATAAGTAAAAGATTTTAAAAAATAAATCTGTTTACCAAGTAAGCTCAAATAGTTATGACTGTTTGAATAATTATTTATTTGAAATAGTTATGATATTTTATTTTATCATAAAACAATTATTTCTATTTATACAAGTTTATTCAGAATAAAATAATACTAATTTATTAATATTCTAAAAATTAATGAGTAAAATTTAAATATAATTATATCAAATAATTTTAATTATAATATTAATAGTTAATAGTTATTATTAATATTTTATTAACTATTATTGTCAAACAATTATCGTTATGTTATTTTATTATTAATATATATGTCCAATTAAATTATATAATAAATAATTATTATATAATATATAATATACAATTATAATTACATATTATAATAATTAATATGATTCATAAAATATTATTAATAATATTTAATTATAATAATTTATTAAATTATTCATGATACTATATAAATTAATTATTATAATTAATAGTAATAATATTATAAATATTAACTAATATATGACTATTAGTTTAAAATTGATATTATATTAATATATTAAATTATAATAGCCAAATTGATAATTGTACTATATAATTACTAAATAAAGATTAAAAATAATATTGTAATTTATAAGCGAAGTTATTTTAATTGTTTTCATTATCATTTTTGGATTTTGATATTATATCCATCCATGTACCTATACCAAAAGGATATTTTAAATTTATCTTATCTTTGCAAGTATTTAATTGGTGTGAGTAATTTTCATACCCATAATGTTTAAAAGAAATAATAAATAAAATTTATTTTTTAATTTTTTTAATTTTTATCTTGTATAGTTAGATAATTTTTTATAAATATACATTTTTCAATAACAATAGATTAATTCTAATTAATTTAAAATAATAATTTATATTATTTAATAAAAAATCTGTATACTAAATATGTATACAAATATATACGTAGGGTATGAGTATGGATACGAGGTGGGTACATTATTATCTATCTCCATTTAATTTATTATTAATCAAATTATAATTATATTATATATAATATAACAATTAAATTAATAATATTTATTAAATTATATATGAATAATATCTTTAATAAACCAATTCAAATTGTTAAGGCTATAGGAACAATTCTTTATTTTAAATTATTATGACATTTTGTTTTATCGTAAAATAATTTTTTCATTTAAAATTAAAAATAATTTAAAGTAAATTAATTTTAAATAATTGTTTGTTATATTTAATAATTAGTATTAAATAATTATTTTAATTAATTATTTTTATTTTGATAAACTTTAAATATTAATTAATAATCTATATATTAATATTTAAACTAATATAAAAGTAATATTTAAACTATTGCAATATTTAATAGATATAATTAATTATAACATAATAAAGTAGTAATTTAAATAATTACAATTAATATCTATATTTTAATTGTTAATTTATTTAATAATTAGATTAAATAATTAGATTTATTTGTATTAATTATTAAGCAATTGCAATATTTATTACTTAAAATAAATTTTAATATTTATTTTTAATTTAAACAAATTAATATATTAAAACAATATATATTAGTTTTAATATTTAAATTTTAAATATTTATATTATATTTTAATTAATTATATATTATAATTAAATTAGATAATTATTATTATAACAATTATTTTAATTTTAAATTAATAAGTAAAAATTTTAATTAATTTTAATTTATATTTAAAATTAATATATATTATAGTATTAAATATAACTAGTAAAAATATATTTAATAATAATTATTAAAATATTTGTTAAATATTTTGAAATTAATAAATATAATTATTTATTTATTAGTTATATTAAATTAAAATCAATAATTCATATTAATATTTTTATTTTATTATCATGCAAGGTTAATCATAATATAATTTATCTAATAATTATGGTTTAATTAATAAAATATATAATTATTATTCAATAATTGGGTTTAATAAAAAAGCATATTGAACAAATAGTTTTCTTAATAAAATTATAATCTATTAAATAATAATGATTGGTTTTAATAATTTAATTAATTTAAATATTAATTAGAACAATTAATTATTACTATATTAATAACTATATTATATAAGAATAATAATTTTAATAAAAATATTATAATTATGAAAATTATCAATAATAATTTATTAATTATTTTAAAATTATCATTTTAAATTAATATAGCAAAATAGCTTTATTTTCTAAAATTATACTTATTAATTTTTGGAATATTAATAAATTTATATTATTTTATTCAAAATATGCTTGCATGAACAGAACCAATTGTTTTATAACAAAACAAAATGTCATAATGTTTTAAAATAGATAATTGTTTAGATAGTCATAGCTATTTCAACTTGATTGATAAGAAACAATTGTTTTACAACAAAATAAAATGTCATAATAATTTGAAATAGATAGTAGTTCAAATGGACATGACTATTTGAACTAGTTCAGTAAACTAATTAATTTTTTAAATCTTCAATTTATTAATTTTTAGAATGTTAAAATATTAGTATTATTTTATGCCAAATAAACTTGTGTGAATAGAAACAATTGTTTTATAACGAAACAAAAAATCATAACTATTTGAACTTACTAAGTAAATAAATTTATTTTTTAA